ACGGTGGTTTGCAGCGTTGCTTTAGGCAGTGGAATCCTTTTAGCAAAATAAGCCTCCCATGCAACTCTAATATTTTACCGTGTAAACAGAGCTCTCTGAGCCTGTCCTTCCCCCAGACGCCCAGCCTCCAGGCAACCTTGGAATCTCAGGACACAGCTGCTCCAAGATGTCTGCAGCCCCAGTGTTTGCCTCGGAGGCAGAGACTGCAAAGTGCCCTCCCAATGTCCCGTGGCCCTTCTTTCATGGTAACAAAATTCTAATTAGGGTGGGAATGAAGCCAACGACAAGGCAACATTTCCAGCCTGTCTTGCTGTTAGGTAAGGCCAGTGCTGTGACAAAAGTCTGGCCAGTGATGTGTAGATGGTAGTGTTATATGAGACTCCCAGGAAGGCTCCTTACAATGGAGAGTTGTACCTTTTCTATCCTGGTCTTCCTCATTCCCGCTGTCTGGAATATGGGCATGATGGCTGGAGCTCCAGCAGCCATGTTGGACCATTAGGTGACTTTGAAGTTGGAAGCTACGCTTTGGAGATGGTGGGGCAGAAAAGAAGACAGAGCTTGGTCTGAATGACTTCGTGGCATTGTGCAACCAGCTCTGCATTGCTGTCTCAGGACTGTGATGTGGGAAAGTAAGTCTTGTGTGTCTAAGGCAACGTGGTTTAGGTTTCTGTATAATTTGCAGCTACATCAAGTCCTAACTGATACAGAACCTGTCTGTAGTTAACTTTTCTAGCACCAACTTCCACTGTGGCTCTCTTCTCACGTATATTTGGAAGAATTACAGAGAACTAGATAGGATAAGACCATAGAGCCATATATGTATGGGCCAGATTTATTATAAAACTAGAGGCCCAGTGCACAAAATTCATGCACTGGGGGGGTCCCTCAACCTGCCCTGCACCTTCTTGCAGTCCAGGAGCCCTCGGGGGATGTCCAACTGCTGGCTTAGGCCAGCTCCACACCTGAAGTCACACAGCTGGTTAGTTGAAGAACAACAAATAAAAGGGGACTTAAAGTGTAAGCAAACGAGTGGGTCCATCAGAGGGTCTTTTGAGTTACTTTACAATAAAGACCATTTAAGCAGCATGGTGGGGCCTTAGAAGATTTGACTTGCAGTCTCCTTCGAGATCTGAACGTGAGGCAAAGGGGCTCTGGAATCAGATGGGCGTGGGACCATTCCTTGCTCTTTCCTTTCCAAAGGTGGGGTCCTGGGTGAAATACTTCAGATTCCCTGAGCTTCAGGCTGCACTCACAGTGAGGGGTGAGTGCATGACAATGCATGTGAAGTCACAGCACGAAATGCTGGTATGAGATAGGTCGAGAGTCAATCCTGTGACCCAGGCCGGGGAAATGAGAGGAATGAGGTCAGAGGCAACCCACTTGTTTTCAGAAGGACTTGAAAGTCTCCTTGGCAACCTGCCACAGAACAGAAGAGTGTGATGGTGTTTCCGTGCACACAGCTGTGCCAAGGTGAGCAGGCGCCTCTCTGGCTCTCCGTTTGCTCAGCTGTGAAGGGCGACTGGCAGTGACTTCCACCCACGGCCACTGGAAGGAGAGTGGTCCCTGCTCCTGGTCATGTTTAGACTTCGCCTTCGCTCACCCTGGCTTTTTCTTAATTTTTCCAAACAAAGTGAAGAAGCACCTTCCTACTTTCTCAGTTTTCTGTTTACGCTGTCACTCGGGTTTCTTTCATATTGTGGGAACTGATACCAACAGTTATGCTTGGGAGCTCTATCCCTAATAAAGGCAAAGAATTGGAACTGGAGCCCAGCCGGTGTTGCTCAGTGGTTAAGCATTGACCTATGAACCAGGAGGTCATGATTCGATTGCCCCTGGGTGGCAGACTCAATCCTCAGTATGGGGCATACAGGAGGCAGCTGATCAATGATTCTCATCATTAATGTTTCTCTCTCTCTCTCTCTCTCTCTCTCTCTCTCTCTCTCCCTTCCTCTCTGAAATCAAGAAAAAATACATATTTTAAAAGAATTGGTATTAGGTGATAGAGAAAAAAGATTGGCAAGCACACAACCATGGTGGTTTTTAAAGGAAATGTGATGATTTCTAAAATCCCAGAACTCAGTGGGAGATGACATCAAGAGTTAAAACATCTGTGTATGAACAGAGTGAAAAGGCAGTGCATGGAACAGGAGATAATATTTGCAAATCACATATCTGATAAGAGATTAATATCCAGTGTGTGTAAAGAAGTCCTAAGACTTAAAGCAATAAAAGTAACCTGGGCAAAGGACGGAAATTGACGTCTCTCCAAAAAAGACATACACACGGTCTATAAGCGTATGATAGATGCTCAACATCACTCATTATTTAGGAAACACAAGTCAAACCACAATGAGCCATCACTTCACACCTGTTAGGATGGCTAATATTAAGAACAAAACAAAGCAGAAAATAACAACTGCTGGTGAGAACGTGGACAAGTTGGAAACTTTGTGCATTGTTGGTGGGAATATAAAATGGTGCAGCCACTATGGAAAACAGGCTGGTTGTTCCTCACAAAATTAAAAATGGAATTACCATATGATCCAGCAATTCTGCTTGTGAATATAGAGCCAAAAGAATGGAAGTCAGGTCTCAAAGAGATATTTGCACACTCGTGTTCAAATCAGCAATATTCACAACATTTAAAAGGTGAAAGCAACCAAAGTGCCCACTGACAGATGATGGGTAAACAAAATGTGCTCTGCGTGCAATGGAATAGTTTTCAGCCGTAAAAGGAAAGACATTCTGACACATGCTACAATGCGGATGAACCTGGAGGACATTGTGCTGAGTGACATAATCCAATTACAAAAAGGGAAGTTCTGGATGTGTTCACTTATATAAAGTCCCTGGAGTAGCCATGTTCATATAAAGGGAAAGTAGAATGGTGGTTGCCTGGGGCTGGAGAGGGGAGAATGGGAGTTGTTTGATGGGGATGGAGTTTCTGTTTTGCAAGATAGAAAAGTTCTGGGGTTGGTTTCACAACAATGTGAATGTATTTAACCCCACTAAACTGTACACTCAAAAATGGTTAGGTAGTGAAATTTATGTTATGCATATTTTACTACAATTTTTAAAACTCTGTTGGGAGAGTAGCAACGGGTTATAAAAAAGACAGCATGCAGAGTGGGGTGAAGGCGGTAGGCAGCCACGCCAGGTGGAGGGCAGTGATGCATTTGGGAATGACGTCCGTTGAAGTTGTGCTCCAAATTAAATTGGCCCATTTATGAACGCGCTCATGTAGCTGGAATCCGGCAGGACGAAATGCTCTCTAATCAGGGATAAATGAGGACTGGGTCTGGTTGGAAGCAAAGGCCCACGGGGCATGTCACAGGCGGGGCCAGAGCTGGCCTTGTGGAACAGCCTCATTAATGACCCAGAAGAGAATGGAAGTAGCCACTGCTAATGACATTTGCAATGAAACGGTGGCCATGCCCTGGACTTGGCCATAATGGCATAAGCCTGGCTCGGATGCAGAGAGACTTTCCACTCGGCAGTTAATTGGATTAAACCAATGACTTCCTGGGAGAAGTCGTTCCAGCTGCAGTTCTCATCTCCAGAGCAGGAGGCAAATTCTGAAATTCGGGGCTGTTCATGAGACCAGACTGACCAGGGCCAGTGGAGGAAGGGCGCTCTCCCAAGCACAGCCGCGCCTTTGGCCTTCACCTCTCGGTAGAAGACCACGGAATCCACACGTTAAAAAGATACTGTACAAGCAAGGAGAAGGTGAGGAGGCAGGGTAGGTGTGTCTCCCATGTAGGGAAGTCCAGAAAAATCCCACTAAACCGCAATGTACAGCGTTTGGCAGGGATGTTTCACCCTGTTCCCCATTTAGCTCCTGCCAGTGGCTTCCCAGCCCCTGCCTCCCCACCACTGCCCTTCCCACCCACGTCATGGTTATCGGCTACTCTGCAAATTCAGCCCTTCCCTCTGAATTGCCATTCAGTCCCCAGCCACTGTGCTGGGCTCAGGGATGGGCAGAAGACTCAAGCTGTGCCGATCTCTCTGGTGAGGTCAGCTGCCGGGATTGGACTCCAGCCCTGATGGTTTGATCAGAGTGGCCAGTGTCTGCCTCAGCCTGTAATGGTGACAACTCAGACCAGTGCCCAGCCTTTTCGGGTTGGCTTTTCTCTGTGAATCGGGGACTATAACTCTGGCCCCTGATACCATCAGCGGAGACTCAGGGAAAGAAAGAGCATTCAGCCATGGGAAGTGTTTGCAGCTCACTGGAGTGAAGGTGCCCTAAATCTACAACCCTCTCAGCAGCAGCTCGTGCGTGCTCGCGCACACACGCCCCCCTCCACCGAAAGCCGATTGTTTTAGAGCAATGGGATTAATAGGTGGCATTTTTCAGTGTTTACAGACTTCTTATTGTTGATGGCCTCAATGTCCTTTAGAAGGAAACCCACCTGGGACATCCAGGGTCTGCCCTTAGGCGGTTCTACTCATCCGTAAGGGGCTTCCCTGTCCAAACCTACCAGTTTCCTCTGTCCTCCGTGGCTCCTGGGTGCTTGATCCAGGAAAACTGATTAGATCATAATCTCCATTAGGGAACCAAACCCAGCTTTCTCCTCTGCCTGACACACCCTGATCTCCAGCACAGGCAGCCCCAGTCGCTGGGTGAAGGACTGAAGTGCGGGGTGTCCCAGAATCCACACACTCTCCTACCAGCGAGACCTCACAGAACCACTTCCTCAGACAACACAGGAGTGTCCAGTGGGCCCAAGCGCAGTTTTCCTGGGTGGGGGGGGGGGGGGGGGTAGGTATATAGCTCTAAAACTCTGAGTTTCATTTTCTGCAGACTGATTTCTTTCTGCCTCGTTCTATTTTTTCTTGCGGGTCTGTACACGTGGGACAGGCTGAGACAGAAAGCTGTGTGTGCGGCATCATGATTCAGGTCGGGACTCTAGGTTACAAGTGACGAAAAGATAGGCTCACTGGCTCACATCATAGAAAAGCACAGGACGAGGCTATCCTCAGGCACGACTGAAACCCCATACCAAGCCGTGCCGCAGGAGGCGGTCTCCCCGCTCCTGGCCCTCCTCTCCTCTCTGCTGGCTCCACCCCTCAGCTGGACTCTCCTTGTTGGTGACAAAGAGACCAGACACTCCCGGCTTGAAGTTCTCTATCTGCAACCCAAGAGGGAAATGAGAGCTTCTCTTTCCCAGTAGTTCCTGCTAGGGTGGCCTCTCATTGGTCCAGCTGGGGATCACGTGCCCCTCCCTGAACCAATCGCTGGGGTTGTAATTGTGCAAGTCCAGCCCTGGAGCCAAGGGCATGAGATCCACTCTACTGCAACAGGCAGAGAGGAGTGGGAGAAGGGGTAGCCCCCCAACCAGCTGCTGTTACCAAAGAGAGTCATGGATGCTGGCAAGACTAGACTGGCCGGTGTCAGCCTCCATCTGTTGGGAATGAGAGGGGATAGGGCCACTCCTGATGGGCTGTCAGAACAGGATGAAGCCTTTTGCCTCTTGATGCTGTGTGCACCCTAATGATGACAGATGAGACCCAGCACCAGGAGCAGCTACAGAAAGCAGCCAGCAGGACTGGCAGCGGGAGCCCAGCGGCCATCCTCTTACCAAGAGCTCCCCTAGTCTGTCTTACTCCGTGAAATGCCCAAACTGACTCAGGCACCTCTCAGGTTGCAAAACTTGCTCAGCAGACATATGCAAAACTATGTTGTGGCCCACAGTTAAACAGGAGGAAGTTAAGGGAGAAAAATCAAGGCTACAGCTTCCTGCCTAAGCTCAGCCCACAGGTAATGGAGCTCTGTCACTCAGCAGTTAGGCCCAGTGGTTTGACAGTAGCTCGTAGGCAGAAACAAGCCAATGGGCAGAGAGGTTTGGTGCCAATATAACCAAAGGCTGCCGCATAGGGCCCTGCCAGTGATGACTGAGTGGTCATGCTCTCTGTGGCATGTGTGGGAATTGGGGAATAGGTTTCTGTTTGTTCCACCCTCTCTCTCCAGCTCTTTATCACACCCGGCACTCCTTTATCTAGACGTTCCCGTGGAAGATGAGGTGTGTTTTTAATAATAATAAACCCTTGTATTTGTAGATCTCTTTGTACTTGATAAAAGGGCCCACTGGCGTCTGCCCACAGGCGTTGAAGATAAGCAGGATAAATATTCTCCCCAGTAACTACCGGCGCGTCTGGCTTGGAGTCGGACTCCAATAAAGCAGGCAGGACCCAGATGGTGGAGCGTAGGGAGCGCTGGTTCAGGGGTCAGGCACTGTCAGGGGAGCCACCTGGTCAGAACAGAATCACCCTGAGGACTCACGGTCCCTGGGGTCCCGAGTCAGCTCTACACACTGCAAAGGCATTCAGTGCGCTGGGCTTGAAGAGACGGCTCCCCGGCCCAGGGACAGGCATTCTGCAGAGAGGACGGAAGAGAAGCAACCGGGCAGAAACCCTGAATAGATGCTTTCCTAGATAATTGTGCTGTTGTTTAGAATTCTTCCTTTCTCCTTGAAATGACTATCCCCTTAGTCCCCGATCTCCGTAGACCAGAAGTCCAGCCTGCCTACCTGCGAATCTAGAGGGAAGAGGTGGGTCCTGCACGCGGGGAGGCTGTCTCACTCAGGGAATGTTTCTTGGGGCTGAGAACATAGTAAATATCTTCAGGAAGTGGCTCTTTGTTGAGTAAGAAAAGTATTGGCTCTTTCTGAGGAGTCTTTTTTTTTTCTAAGTCCTTGAACGTCTTAAAATGTTTCAATTTCTCATTTTCTAAAAACTAAAATGTTTGTAAATGTGTCTTAAAATGTTTGAATACTTATTGATGGTTTGGTTAGGTATGGGATTCTAGATCAAAAATCATAATATCTCAGAATTTTGAAAACATCACTCAAGTAGCTATTTCCCATCGTGGCTGTGGGCGGGGTGTTTGGGTGGCCCGGCTTTATGCTGAGGAATAAGGTTGCCACGTTTATATAGTAAAAATGCAGACTATCCCAACAAATCTGCATTTCAGATAAGCAAGGAAATATTTGGGACGTACTTATTCTAAAACCATATCCACTGTTTATTCAAATGCCACTGGGTGTCCTGTATTTTATCTGTTAACCCTACTGGGAACATTTTAGGATATTCTCTTTCTCCTTAATGTTCTGAAATTTTACAGTGTTTCCAGTTGTGAGTCCTGAAAAAAACAAACTCACCGAATCATTATATTAGTGCCAGCTGAGCCCCAAGGGGATGGGAGTGGTTCTTGTTGACACGGTGAACAGGTGAGTCACCGAGGCCTCCGGCCCCACCCCGCTGAGCCTGGGGTTGAGGAACTGGAACCAAGGAGAAGTTTCATCAACCTCAGAGTCTGACAATCTTCAGAGAAAGTAATGGCCAGAGCAAAGGCCTGGGCGACGATCGTCTATTCCATATGGGGACCGGTCGGCTAGCTGAGTCACCTGGTCACCTGGCCGGCCTGTCACACAAACATCACAGAACCCCCTAGGGAAGGACCGGCGTTCAGGCCGAAGAGCCTCCATTGGTCGGAGAGATGGTTCTGGACCATCCTGTATGCTGCTCTGTGAACAAAGAGACTCTCTGTGTGGAGAAGAGGGTTTGCGTGCGAGACACATATGTCCTGGGGTTGTCTCTAAGCCAGCCAGCCCACAAGTAAGTGAGGAGGCTGAGAGATAAGAAGTAATCGCTCTGGAAGGTCGGGTAATATCAGGCAACATAGAAACAGGTCAGAGAAACCAGGAGAGCTGCAGAGTCCCGAGAGAGGAGATTTTAAAAAATGACCTTGGAATCATCCGGCCAGCCCCTCCCCTGACAGGTGGCGATACCCAGCAGAGACTGTAGGAGAGACTTGCCCAGAGTCCCAGAGGCAGATGAGCCAGCTCCGGGCCCTGCTGGTGGCTCCTCCCACAACGCCGCTGCTGCGTGGGGCCTATTCAATCATCCTGACAGCCTCCGAGAAGATACACCTTCCCTGCGATGATCTGACTCAGCTCCGGCAGCAGCTTCACCAAATGCCCCATGAAAATGCGGTCAACTCCAGAAGGGGTGGGGACTTCGGGGCCTTGGAAAAACGTTCCCCCAACCAAAGATACTGCCTGCACCCGCCTGCCTGTGCGCCAGAAATCGCACCTGGACAGTGTGTGTTGTCATGCACACGACGACCTGGGATCTTTGTAGAGACTCCTTAACACAGAAGAGGGTCTTGATGGTATAGGTGACACAGGACATGTGCGTTTTGATTGGACAGGGGCGGAGTGATTGGACAGCGATCTGAAATGTATCGGGACCCACTGGGCCCCCATGCGGCAGGTGCCTGCGTCACCCTCATCCCTCCACAGCAGAACAAAGCTGCAGATTGCTTTATGCCCCCATCGATTTCCTGCCCTCAGACTCACTTTGGGTGTCTGATGTCACAGTGCAATATGTAAGTAGACCTAGTTCCCTTGATTACTTGAATAATTCACATTTTGTAGCTGCATATAGGATGTTTTCAGCAGAACAATGTCCCTTCACCTGGCAATTCTGATTTCAGCATCAAGAATAGCTGTTTGGAGTCAGACTTGAAAATGTATTTCCCACACAGGAAGGTCGCTTGCCTTTTTCTCTTTGTGGCCAAAAGTTTCAAAAGATGAAGATGGAAAGATCCCCATTGGTTTTTGTCGATGAAGAGATCATTTGAACCAGAGCAGGTGCTACAGAGCAACAGAAGCCAAGGACAAATGGCCATGCCTTTGTTACGAAGTGGATGCGGCCCAGCTGATGTGGTTTAGTGGTTGAGCATTGACCTATGGAGGTCACTGTTTGGTTCCCAGTCAGGGCATAAGCCTAGGTTGTGGGCTCAATCCCCAGCAGGAGGCATGCAGGAGGCAGCCGATTAATGATTCTCTCTCATTGATGTTTCTATCTCTTTCTCCCTTCCTCTCTGAAATAAATAAAAATATATTTTCAAAAAAGAAGTGAATGCAGGTGGGAAAGTGGGGGAAATTCATGTAGACAACCTTAAGAAACTTGACTTACCTGAAAGAGAAAATCTTTTGTTGAAATGGGTGTTGGCTGTCAGGTGGTTGGTTTTAAAGCTGGGAGAGACTTGAGCATCTCTGTTATCCTGGGGAAATGAGTTAGGACCTCAGCTTCTTTATCTGAATGTTGCAGAAATGCTAAAACCACCTCAGCCAGAGTCTGTCCAAGGTCGCCTGGCCAGTTGGCCAACGTGTGAAATCCGGGTCCTTCACAGCCTGTTCTCTTGGGCAAACAATGTCTCTCCTTTGGGCAAATGTCTTTGGTTTTCCATGGCTCATGGGAGGACATAGGAGCCATTTCTGTGCTAATATATTTGGAAAGAGCTGGAAGGTCCTCATGGGCATGGCATGGGTAAGGGAAAGAAGTACTTAAGTAAACACCTTCCATTTGCCAGGCACTAGGCTAAGCACTTTACCTGAAAGTTATTCAACCCTCCCAGCAACTAGATGAAGCAGATAAAGCCATTATGTTATTTCACAGATGAAGAGATTAAGTAACTTACCCGAGATCACGCAGCTAGCAAAAGCCAAGTCAGAGACCCAAGACTTTGACCTCCAGCCACACTCTCTCTCACAGGAGTGCACACGAATGCTGGTCTAATACCACAAGTAAGTTAATAATATTTTAAAAATATTATTTGGTACATAACAGACCATTAAAAAAGACATCACCCATCAGTTATAAAAAGGAATCACTGGTTTGGAGAAGAAAGGTCAGCCAGGTGTGACTTGTTGATAATTTGGGGCAAGGGCCACGCCTTCTTCCTACTTGCATCCCCAGGACCCAGTTTTTCACACCTCATGTCTTCTCCAGGCACAGTCCTACTTATTGTCCCATCTTATTGTATGACTTTCAGAACAGCCCTGTGAGACAGTCAAGGCAAAGAAAACCATTTCCATTTTCGCATAGGGACATAGAAGTGCTCTCTCTCTCTCTCTCTCTCTCTCTCTCTCTCACACACACACACACACACACACACACACACACACACCAGGGAGGGAAGAAGCAGAGCCTGGACAGCTCAGTGGCCCAGTTTGCTGCAGAGCTGCCAGGACCTAAGGGAAGAGATGCAGCGGCCTGCTGCTGTTTTTAGTAACACCTTGTGTCCGGGGCAGAGAAAATCACCCCCTTCCATCAAAATGCCAGAACATAGGTCCTTGAGCTGCTTTATCAGAGAACCAGGTGAGAGGGTTCATAACTAATAGCCAAGGAAACTATTTCCAAGTGGAACACATTCTTTAAAAAGTAAATGCAGCCAAAACCGGTTTGGCTCAGTGGATAGAGCGTCAGCCTGCGGACTAAAAGGTCCCAGGTTCGATTCCGGTCAAGGGCATATACCTTGGTTGCAGGCACATCCCCAGTAGGAGATGTGCAGGAGGCGGCTGATTGATGTTTCTCTCTCATCGATGTTTCTGACTCTCTATCTCTCTCCCTTCCTCTCTCTAAAAAATCAATAAAATATATTTTAAAAAAATAAAATAAAATAAAAAATAAAAAGTAAATGCAGCCAGTTTGACAACTGCTAGGCATTTCCCCCTCCCAGTGGCCTGCAGGGCATCTGCGGGGATCACAGGTTCATTGGTGGCATGGTGATTTGCAATGAACGTTAGAAATAAAAGAGTAAACACAAGGTGGTCCCACACACCCTCGGTACATAACAGACCATTGAAGAAGACACTACCCACCAGTTATAAAAAGGAGTCACTGGTTTGGAGAAGAAAGGTCAGCCAGGTGTGGCTTGTTGATAATTCCGGGCAAGGGCCACGCCTTCTTCGTCCTTGCATCCCCAGGACCCAGCTCAGTGCCTGGCACAAGGTCCGCCCCAGGGATTCTAATGATTGGTGAACTTCAGCCGGGATGCCACGATGGCCACGCTGCCACTGTGCTCAGTTCTCAGAAAGCAGCGAGCGTGCTTCCGAAGGCTGCGTAGTTGGACAGAGGGGAAACTGACCGACAACAAGCAGCTCTAGCCCTCGCCCCAGGGAACTGCCTCCCTTGTCACTTGCATGCCTCGTAGCCTTCTGACTGCAAGGGAAGCAATTCCATTATTGGTGGGTGAGGTTCTAGAACAACCTACAAAAGTCTAGTATCGGAATGTAGAAAAGGAACAGCGCTCAGTAACATTGTAGAACCATGTTCCCATTATCATTATCTGTACTTGACAAAACTTACCTGGAGCTCCAAGCTGAGAAGGCGGTGAGAGACCTCCTCTTGCTGGGGTCCCAGGTTAGGATTCGGGGCTCCTTCCTGAGCCCCTCTCTACTCTGTCTTACCTTCCATCACCTGTGCCCACTATTTACCCTGCTCTGCACCCTAAGGAAACCTGCTTCTCCACCTGTTTCTCGAACCTCAGTGGGTGGCAACAACGATCTACCCACTGATTCAAGTCTGACACTTGGGCATCACCCTCCCTCCACATGTCGCTCCGTACATTCATCTGCAGCCATTGCTTCTCCACCTGTTTCTCGAACCTCAGTGGGTGGCACCACGATCTACCCACTGATTCAAGCCTGACACTTGGGCATCACCCTCCCTCCACATGTCGTTCCGTACATTCATCTGCAGCCACCACACGTCTAATAGGGGCAGCGAGTCTACCTTGGCTACGTCTAGAGTCAGGACGCTGTCTTTCTGGACTTCTGCACGCTGTTCCTGGGCTCCAGGGGGAAGCAGGCTGTGACTGCAGCAGGCCTTCTTGCGATTCCTTTGCATATAAAGTATAATTGAATTCGTAGCTTAGCAAGTGTACTTAGTGAGCACAAGATCGAGGTAATAGATGAGGCTCGAGAAGTGGATAAGGCGCACTTGTTCTTCAGGACCTTGGAGAGAAGCAGTAAAGGACGCAGACCCGGAACTAGGCGAGAGCTGCCAGAGGAGGGCTGTAAACCATGCCGGCTGCTAGAGAGAAGTTGGGGGGTAGGGGGGACAGTCATGGTTTCCTTTCTGACCCTTGAGCACTGGGAATCCATTCCTGCCTCTGGGCTCTTTACCTGTGTTTCCCCGACTGACCCTCTGCCTGCACCTTTGCGTTGTCACTGGCTTCTCATCTCTCGGTCCCCACCAGGTGGCTGTGCAGAAGCCTGTCCCCCGTCGCGGAGCCACTCTGACTTGCCTTTCTCCATAGTGACCATCACTGCCTGACACGGTTATTCATTTGCTCACGTGACAGAGGTCTCCCCGGCCTTCAGCGGAGGTGAGGTCCCAGGAGAATAACCCGTGTCTGTGAGGGTCCCTGTCACCCCTCAGCGCTCAAAGCCTCTCTGACACCTGGAGGCTCTCCCTGCTCTTGGACAAACGAGCGAAGGAAATAGGACCAGGAGGAGGGCAGGGTTAGGGTGGAACTTAGGAGAGCGGTGAGGACCTCCAACCGGGCAGTTTGATCCTGACTCAGGTTTGGAGAAATAGGATTCCAGACGCCATGGACAGGTTTGTGTTTGCGTGACCCACTCGGAAAAGCGCCGACTCGCTCGCGGGGTCACTGCCAGTGCTGTCCTTCAATTTCTAAAATAGAGATGCATTTGGAGCCAGCAGAAGCCGGCGGCCCTTTCCTTGGATCTCACTGAACGCGGTGCGGCTCCCGCTCCAGCCCGTGGTCAGGGGCTTGGACCCTGATGCGTCAAGAGGAGGCTGACCAGGTGCAGCCTTGATGGACACGTGGCTCTCCCCGCGGTCAGTGAGGAATGCCCTGCGCCGAACACACAGGAGCCTTAGGAACCAGCGCCCGGCGGCGGGGGCGGGGTCCTGCCAGCCTTGTCCATGGAGAGGCACACACCAGGGTGATGGGCCCCTGCCTGCCCAGGGTTGGAATCTGCTAAACAGATTTCATTGGGCCCACACAGTGGTTTTACATTTTTAAACTAATCACCACCATTTCAAATATCAGGAGATTTCACATAAAATAAAAATGCAGAAGTTCTAGAAATACTGGCCCTGGAATTCCCACAGGAAAAACCTCCCCCAACTGGAGTAGCAGCCATCCTCACTCAATGAGATTAGTAGCCGCGAGGCTGTCATGGCCCCAGCACTCCTATGACACGGCCCCCAGCACTCCTGTGTGACACGGCCCTCAGCACTCCTGTGTGACACGGGCCCCCAGCACTCCTGGGTGACCCGGGCCCCAGCACTCCTGTGACACGGGCGCCAGCACTCCTGTGACTCGGCTCCCAGCACTCCTGTGACACGGGCGCCAGCACTCCTGTGACTCGGCT